TTCATTTCTTTTCTCTCCTCTCCTCTCTTCTCCTCCACTTCTTCTTCCTCCTTCTCTCTTTACTCCTCTCCCCCCCCTATTCCAATTCTTCCCTCTTCTCCTTCCTCCCAATTCTTTCTTCTCCCTCTCCCCTCTCCTCTTCTCCAATTTCTCTCCTACTTCTCTCCTCTCTCTCTTCCCCATTCCTTTTCTATCCTTTTCATCTCTCTCCTCTTCTCACCTCTCCCCCTTTCTCTTTTCTCTCCCTTCTTTTTCCTCTCTCTGCCCATTCTTTTTCTCCGGCTACTTCTCTCCCCCACCCCCCTTTTTTTCTTTCTATCCTCCTTCTCTTCTCTTCTCCTCTCTCTCTTCCCTTCTCTTTCCTCTCCTTCCTCTCTCTCTCTTCCCCATTCCTTCTCTCCTCTTCTCTCTTTCTCTTCTCCTATTCTCTCCTGTTCTTCTCCTCTCTCTCCTCTCTCTCTTCCCCTTTCTCTCCTCTCCTCCTTCCCTTTCTCTTCCCCATTCCTTCTCTCCTCTTCTTCTCCTCTCTCTCCTCTCTCTCTCCTCTCCTTCTTCCCTCTCTCTTCCCCATTCCTTCTCTCCTCTTCTCTCCTCTTCTTCTCCTCTCTCTCTCTTCCCCTCTCTCTCCTCTCCTTCTTCCCTCTCTCTTCCCCATTCCTTTCCTCTTCCTCTCTCTCTCCTCTCTCTCCTCTTTCTCTTCCCCTCTCTCTTCTTCCCTCCTCTTCTCTCTTCTCCTCTCTCTCCTCTCATTCTTCCCTCTCTCATCCCCATTCCTTCCCTCCTCTCCTTCTTTCCTCTCTCTTCCCCTTTTCTTCCCTCCTCCTCTCTCTTCCCCATTCCTTCCCTGCTCCTCTCCCCTTTCTCTCTTCCCCTCTCTCTCTTCCCCTCTCTCTCCTCTCCTTGTCCCCTCTCTCTTCCCCTTTCCTTCTCATCCAGCCTCACTATCAAGACAGGAAATGTGGATCCACCACTTTGATGCAAAACCTCGAGCGGAAGCAACGGAATCCGGTGCAGATAAGACGAGCATTTCGCGTCTTGCGAGAAACTGCACTGGATTTACGTTGGTTTTTTCCCCGATTTTTTTTTTTTCGTGTTTTTTTTTTTTTTTGTTTTTTTCGTTTTTTTTTTGGGGGGGAGGGGGAAGGGAAGGGGGGGTTGTTGATTTTGTTTGTTTGTTTTTGTTTGTTTTAGTTCGTATGTTTGTGTGCGTGTGTCTGTACACGTCTTACACCTCTTTGGTTCTTTTTAAGTGAATGTCATAATATCTATATCTATATCTTTATATATATCTATATCTATATATCTATCTATCTATCTATCTATCTATCTATCTATCTATCTATCTATATATATATATATATATATATATATATATATATATATATATATATATTCATTAGAAATAATTTTTTTACGTCAATCATATTAATTTACACGAAAAAGATATATTAAAACAAAAATCAAAGGCGCGTCAGAATATCTCTCTCTCTCTCTCTCTCTCTCTCTCTCTCTCTCTCTCTCTCTCTCTCTCTCTCTCTCTCTCTCTCTCTCTCTCTCTCTCTCTCTTTCTCTCTTTCTTTCTCTCTTTCTCTCTCTCTCTCTCTCTCTCTCTCTCTCTCTCTCTCTCTCTCTCTCTCTCTCGCTCTCTCTCTCTCTCTCTCTCTCTCTCTCTCTCTCTCTTTCTTTCTTTCTCTCTCTCTCTCTCTCTCTCTCTCTTTCTCTCTTGTGCAATTCAACTTGCATATATATATATGTATATATATATATATATATATATATATATATATATATATATATATATATATATATATATATATATATATATATATAACAGTGATATAACCTAGACTTTTATAATTATCTATATTTCCTTCTTCTTATCCTATTTTTTCTTTTCTGTCTATTTTTCATCTCCAAATTTTTCTTACATTTTCTTCATATTATTCTTCCTCGTTTTCTTCTTAGTATTTATTTTTTTTTCTCTGTTATATTTTTTTCTCTTATTATTTTTGTCTTTATCTTTATTTCCTCAACTTTCTTATAATTCTTTAATCTTTTCTTGTTCATTATATTTATCATTATTTCTTTTCTCTCATTTTTCTCATCATTTCCTCCTCTTCTTTCTCGTTCTCTTTACCTATATTCCTCAATTTTCTTATAGTTCTTCTTTTCCTTTTTCTTTGCCTTTCTCTCTATCTATTTTCCTGAATTTTCTTAATTCTTTATTCTTTTCCTTTTCTTAGTCTTTCTCTTTCCCTGTTTTCCTCAAATTTCTTATGTTTTTTCTTAATTTCTTTTCCATATATTTTTCCTCATTTTCTTTCCCTTTATTATTTTTCTATCACCTTTTTTTTCTATCTCTCTTTTCTATCTTTCTTTTCTCTCCTTATTCTCTTTTTCTCCTCAAACTCCTCCGCTTCCTTACCTCAATCAGCTCGATATAATGAGTAAATAAATGAGTAAATAAATGAGTAAATGATATACGAATCGCCACGCTCTTTCCCCTCCCCCCCCCTCCCCCTCCTCTCTTTTCCCTCTTCCTCTTTTTCTCTTTTCCCTCCTCCTCCTTCTCTCTTTTCCCTTCTCCTCCTTCTCTCTTTTCCCTCTTCCTCCTTTTCTCTCTTTTCCCTCCTCCTCCGTTTCTCTTTTCCCTCCTCCTCCTTTTCTCTTTTCCCTCTTCCTCCTTTTCTCTTTTCCCTCCTCCTCATTCTCTCTTTTCCCTCTTCCTCCTTTTCTCTTTTCCCTCTTCCTCCTTTTCTCTCTTTTCCCTCCTCCTCCTTCTCTCTTTTCCCTCTTCCTCCTTTTCTCTTTTCCCTCCTCCTCCTTTTCTCTTTTCCCTCCTCCTCTTTCTCTCTTTTCCCTCTTCCTCATTCTCTCTTTTCCCTCTTCCTCATTCTCTCTTTTCCCTCTTCCTCCTTTTCTCTCTTTTCCCTCCTCCTCCTTTTCTCTTTTCCCTCTTCCTCCTTTTCTCTTTTCCCTCTTCCTCCTTTTCTCTCTTTTCCCTCTT